GAACTAGGACCTGTGATTGCAGATGAGGGGAGCAGTGGATGGAGATTTCCCATTGAACAGGATGAGGGGGAACCTGCAAATTACCCTGCTCAGTGCCATAATAAAGAGAAATCCTGACTCCCCGGAGGGCCCAAGTTCTTATTACCACAGAGATCCACACCAACAGCTTGTACCCCACATGACAGAGGCCAGGAACAAGAGCAGCAAGTATCACACTAGCATTGAAACCTGTCCCCAGGGACTTGAGAAATGTTGGGGCTGCAGATTTGGCAGCATTGTCTAAACCTGCCCGGATAACATCCACTTGGATTGAAGAATCTAATATCAAATTTTATATCTCATTGCATTTAATCAACTGGTATCTTATTTTACAGCCCCAAGAACATTATCAGAAACTTGTTGAAATCACAACTGTAAGCCCCTTCCTGAAAGATTTCACTAAGGGCTTGTCTTCATTATTGACACTCTGGCAATTGATCTTCCAGCAATCGATTTAGAGCATCTAGTGGGGACACACTAAACTGAACACTGAGGGTGCCCCCGTCCATGCCGGTACTCCTCGCTGTCTCAAGGAGTAAGGGAAGTCGACAGGAGCATTTCTCCCACTGAGCTTCCATAATAAGGATGGTGCCGAAACTCGGATTAAGGTACACTGACTCCGGCTACATTATTTATGTAGCTGGATTTGCGTACCGTAAGCTGACCTTCTCCTGTAGTATAGACCTGCCCTAAGGGATTTAATATTACTTAATATTAGGTTGGAGGAAAGGTCTATTCAAGTTGGATCATAGCTGGTGGAAGGGAAAATCCAGGAAGTACCCAAAAAAGTCAGAAAATGTACTCTGAACTGGGTTTTGTGTTAGTCTCACTGGTCCCAATTTTACACCAGTGCATCTCGATTGATTCAGTAGTGTTACTCTTGATTTACATCACAGCACATGAGATTAGCAAAAGAGCCATACTCTGATTCTCCTCTATCACTAGACTAAATCAAAGATAACCTAGTGAAACAAGTGGAATTCCTCTACTTTCAAATTGATGCAAGTGAGAAGAGATTCATGCCCTCAAGCTATTGAATAATCTCTGATGGAGTAGTGAAATGCCCCACTGCACTTTTCTCGTGTGGAAGAATTTGCTGTTTAATCCCAACTCTTTGTTTTTCCCATCGTGTGACAACAAACCCCTTCATCTCCACTGATTGGTCCAAAGGTAGCTCTACAGAACAGAAATTCTTTCAAGAAGCTTGTCGATATGAGGGGCAGGGAGTCTTGAAAATAAAAATTCAGACATTTTAGAAAAGAGGAAAGGGGAAAAAAAACTATTTTGTGCCAGGGTTTCCAAACTTGAAATAAATTGCTCACATCAGGAAGGAGATTAAATAATAAAATACTTTTTTAAAAAAGGGAATTACGTTTCACAACACTCCAACGACGATCATTAATATTTCTGTTTTACCACTGGAGAAAGTGAGGCACAGCGAGGTTTTGAGACTTGTCCAAGGTCAGACAACCAATTAGTGGCAGAACTGCAAACAGAACCCCAACAACCTGGTTTCCAATATCCTGCTCTAGCCACTAGACAAGGTGTATTTGTGGCCATATAAACTAAAATTTCCATGTCTCAGTTATAGCAGAGGAGTCTAATCTTTTCTGTGATGAAAATTTTATTTTTCCTTTGAAGAGCCCTCAGAAGGAAACAGACATAATTGCCACTGATCCATCAGTACAAATGCAAGCAGGCATTTAGGGCAGCTTGTCAGCTGAGCATAGCAAAGAAAACACAAAAGTCTTCAATTCCTCTCTTCTGCACAGTTGCTGCTGCTGCTGGGATGGTTTTGTCTTTATTAATGACACAGGTTTAATGGCTTCCCCAGATAATGACAATACACCATGAATACAAAAGAGAGGACATACCAGACAAAGAATTTGTAACAAACTAAAAGTTGTTCCCTCTCCAATTTGGCAGCTTGCCTGTTAGTGAAAGAGGCAATTATATTTCATTAGATTTCAAATGTCTGAACTTTTTGCCCTCAAGTAATTCACAGCAAATGTTAACTGAACATGGAAAATCTTGTAGAGTTCTACTTCCAGTTGTAACCCCTGTCTGGATCTCTGCACTAATGAAAACCCTAGCAGCTCTAGATGTCTGTATCCTATATTCTTTTCTGTGCAGACTGGAACTCTATTGCTCTAGACCCTTGTGTCAGACGACAGTGAGCAGTTTTGTAACACCCTATTATGTCACTCGCAAGTCCAAACTTCCTAGCAGGACAGAAACCCTGGCTCTGATCTTGATGAAATACAGTACTCCTCCATTTGAGCCAGGTCTACACTAAACGGGAAGGTTGAATCAAGATACGTAACTCCAGCTACATTAATTACATAGCTGGAATCGATGTACCTTGGTTCGAGTTTCCCTGCTGTCTCCACAGCATTCTCCCATTGGCTTAGCTTACTCCTCACAGAAGAAGGTGTACCAGCCACTGGCAGGGGCACCCTCTAAGTTCGATTTAGCAAGTCTAAATCACTAAATCAAACTCCAGAAGATTGATCGTGGCAGCATCGACCTTCCATTTAGTGAAGACGTGGCTTAGAGCCACTCCTGACCTTGTGCCTTTATACTAAAATAAGATAGCAGCCCTGGCAGCACTATCTGACTTATATTTATCCATGCAGGCTCTGCAGAAAGTTTTATGTATCTCATCTTGGAGGCTGCAAATAAATTTGGCCTGATATGAATCCATGTAAGACTTTACAGTTGTTGTTAAAGCTAATAGCCATTTACACGTAGCGTTTCATAGTTGTAACTGAGGAGGAACTCCAGGTCCTTCTGTTCCAAAAATACATAGGATTGATTCTCCTCTCACAATACTGTAAATCAGGAGTAACACTATTGGAGCTGGTAGATTTACACTAGTATAACAAAATCAGTGGATTGCATCAGTGTCAGACTGTAGGGGCACGTCTAGACTGGCGGGTTTTTCCGGGATACTCAGTTGCATCCAGGGAACGCATTAGGTCTTCCGCTTTTTTTGCGGAAAAGCAAACGCGCTCTTTCGGGGAGCCCTGTATTCCCCATTCTATGAGGAATAAGGGCTCTGCCGAAAGAGGAGGCCCCGTCTAGACAGGGCCAAATGGCAGAAAAGCCTCTTCGGAAAAAGCAATCAGAAAAAGTTACGTAAATTGTGTAATCAGTCCTTATGCCATTGCTATATGAGCACAATGAGAATCGCTGTTAGCAGTTGTAGCAGTAATATAAGAATTCATATCCTGTCTGGACCAAGCAGAAGAGGGCAACACAACCTCACATACTGACCTATGCATTTCATATGTTAAAAGTCAGGAGAGCGCAGGGGTCCAGTTTCCTGCAGTCCCATAAAGTGTGTTTACAGCCAACACTCCTGGCTCTCAGTGTTCTGTGCTGTTATTTAGCTCTAACTAGCTGGAGTTTCCCAGCATTGCTCAGGAAACTAGAGGAACAAAATGTAGACAAACAGAAGTCCATTATCTTTTTTTCAATGGTAGAAAAGTTGCACTGATTTGTATAGGGATTAAAATATAGGTCCGCGTCATCCCCGGAGGGGGGTGGGTGTGATCCCGGGTGGAGGGGATGTTACACGCAGGAAGGGTGCATCAGCTCATGTCCGGGGCTGCAGGTGCCATGGGGGGCAGGGCGGGTGCCCCAGCCAGTTTGGGGCACTGTGTGCCGGTGCGGGGTGGGGGGAAGATGGTCGCTTATGTAACCTCGCGGGCGGGAGGGGCGAGTCCCAGAAGGCACTGGGGGCTGCAGGCAGCAGGCACGGGACCTAGGGTGGGTGGGGCAGCCCCTACAGCGCAGCGCGGTGGGTTACTTTTTTATTTTTACAGCTTGAGCTCAGGCCCAATCAGGTCCAAAAGTACCTTAAAACCTTCTCCTGGATGAAAGAGATGGTCGCTTATGTAACCTCGCGGGCGGGAGGGGCGAGTCCCAGAAGGCACTGGGGGCTGCAGGCAGCAGGCACGGGACCTAGGGTGGGTGGGGCAGCCCCTACAGCGCAGCGCGGTGGGTTACTTTTTTATTTTTACAGCTTGAGCTCAGGCCCAATCAGGTCCAAAAGTACCTTAAAACCTTCTCCTGGATGAAAGATTATCCTATGCAAAGTTTGGTTGCGGTAGCTCTTATAGTGTCCAAGTTATTAGTGTACAAACTTACAAACATTCTCCTTTATTAGCTCTAATTTACCCCTACATGTCTTCTAGGAGCCCAGTGAGCAGTGGAAGTGTTGGTAATGCTGCTAGACAATATTAGCCTCCCATGGTTTGGCAAATTCTCTGGTTTGGCACCAGTCAGGTCCCGAGGGTGCCAGACTAGAGAGGTTCAACTTGTATCAGAAACTAAGGAGAATAGTGCCTGAAAAAAAAGTAAGAACCAAAACAGATGCAATAAGTGAAGTTTATCCTCAGATGGAACAGTAAAGGATACAGAAGAACAGGCCTTCTACACACCCTGGTCTGCAACAAGAATGACATGAAGTTAAAGAACAACAGCAACTGAGCCCGCGTTTTGGGTAACTGTTCCTCCCAGCCAAGAGTCAGCACTGAAGGGTTAATATTTCCAGTTATTTGAAAATAGGGATTTCACAATCATTTTTTTGGCCAGTATTGCTGAGATAGGGAAAGCATACCCTACACGTTTAAGTAAGTTAGGCTGAATGCTCGTTGGAAAATTGTTTATGTTTAGTTGTTTGTGGTTTATTTTTGCAGCGAGGAATTAATTATATCTGAAAGGGAACTCTCTCAATGCATACAGTCTTCTATGCTTTCTTTGGTGGGCCGTGACAGATCTGTGGTCAAAAGCCCTATCTACATCACTGTGTAAGTGCCAGGGATTGTGACTATAATACCACCCTAACCAGAGTTACATTAGCATATAGGCTAACATGCCAGAGGATAGACTTTTTTCGCCTACATATATATATAGACATTGCTTACTTGAATGAACTGGTCTTCCTTTTTTTGCAGGGCTGCAGGCTGTATATTGGTTGAGATGCTCCAGGGTCAGCCCATGTTCCCAGCAGCTGCTGGGACTCTGGAACAGCTGGGGAAGATCTGGGCGGTGAGTAAAATACAGCCAGAAAATTGAGAGGAAAATACCAAGGTTGTTAAATTTTAAGTCCTGAGCATGGCTGCTTTATACAAGAGACGTAATTTGGTTTGAATCCTCAGTCCAATGTGCTAAGTTTACAGCCATATCCTATCAATCAACCATTTTATATTTGGTAACATTTCTACAGACACTAGAGTACATCTGTGATAGAAATGTAGCCGTGTTAGTCTGGGGTAGTTGAAGCAAAATGCAGGACAATGTAGCACTTTAAAGACTAACAAGATGGTTTATTAGATGATGAGCTTTCGTGGGCCAGACCCACTTCCTCAGATCAAATAGTGGAAGAAAGTAGTCACAACCATATATACCAAAGGATACAATTAAAAAAAAGAACAAATATGAAAAGGACAAATCACATTGCAGAACAGAAGGAGGAGGCGGGGGGGTGGGAAGGGGGAGGAAGGAAGGTAAGTGTCTGTGAATTGATGATATTAGAGGTAGGGAGAGTGGGATGTTTGTGAGTTAATGGTATTACAGGTGATAATTGGGGAAACTGTCTTGATAATGGGTGAGAAAGTTCAAAGACTTGTTAAGTCCCTGGTGGTAAGTGTCGAATTTTAACATGAATGACAGTTCAGAGGATTCCCTTTCAAGTGCAGATGTAAAAGGTCTTTGTAGCAGAATGCAGGTGGCTAAGTCATTTAGAGAGTGTCCTTTCTGGTTAAAGTGGCAAGAAACTGTTTTCTCTTTGTGATCTTGTCTGATATCTGTTTTGTGGGCATTAATCCTTTGGCGAAGTGTCTGAGATGTTTGTCCAATGTACATAGCAGACGGACACTTTCGGCACATGATAGCGTAGATTATATTTCTGGATGCGCAGGAATATGTGTTCTTGATCTTATAACTCACTTGGTTAGGTCCAATAATGGTATCAGCAGAATGAATATGTGGACAAAGCTGGCAACGGGGTTTGTTGCAAGGGAAGGTACCAGGGTTGGTATTAGTGTGGTATGTCCTGTGGTGGTTGGTAAGAATCATCTTGAGGTTAGGTGGTTGTCTATAGGAGACTATGGGTCTGTCTCCCAGAGCCTCTTTGAGTATGGTATCCTGTTCCAATATAGGCTGTAGTTTATTGATAATGTGTTGGACAGGTTTAAGTTGGGGGTTGTAGGTGATGACAAGTGGTGTTCTATTGTTGGTTTTCTTGGGTCTGTCTTGAAGTAGATGGTTTCTAGGTATTCGTCTGGCTCTTTCAATTTGCTTTTTTGTTTCTCTGGGTGGGTAGTTGAGATTTATAAATGCTTGGTAGAGATCCTGAAGCTTCTGGTCTCTGTCAGTGGGGTTAGAGCAGATGCGGTTGTATCGAAGGGCTTGGCTATAGACGATGGATCGTGTGGTGTGTTCTGGATGGGAGCTGGATGCATGTAGGTAACTGTATGAGTCAGTGGGTTTTCTGTAGAGAGTGGTGTCTAATTTTCCATTGTTGATTTGTACGGTGGTGTCCAGGAAGTGGATCTCTCGTGTAGAATGGTCCAGGCTGAGGTTGATGGTGGGGTGTAGGTTGTTGAAATCTCTGTGGAATATCTCCAGTGTTTCTTGGCCATGTGTCCAGTACATCTGAATGACTTTTCTTTGAGGTTTGCCATCTCATCAAAAATTTAAAACCAATTACACTGACATCAAACTGAAGGAGGCATAAAAGGTATGTAGTTACTGCAAGTCCTGTTCTCTCTAGTTAACACTCTTATTTATCCAAGGCATACAGTGGATTGTCCTCTTTCAAGAGGTGCTAGCATTGTCCAATCGGCTTATGCTGCTGAGTTGTGACGGCTGCACTAAAAATGACAACAAGATTTGGGGTTGGTCTACAGTAGAAAATTAGGTTGCCAGCAAAAATGACCTGGGTTCCCATGTGGACAGCATCAGGTAAATGGAAGAATTCTGCAGTTGACCTAGTGACTGTCTTTTGAGGAGGTGGATTACTTATGCCAGGCCTGAATGCAGGGTGAGTGCACCCTCTCTACAGTCCCTCAAGTAAGCATGCTCTGGCTGGTCAGAGGAAGGCAGGAGTGGCACACCGCCCAGCCTCCCTCTCCTGTGCTCTGACTGGCCGGGGGAAGGCTGGAGCTGATTCCTCCCGCCAAGAGCGAGACCAAGGGCAGGGCTGGGCCTCACTTCTGGGGTAGGGGTTGGGGGAAATCACTTACTTGAGGGATCATGGGAGGGGGGTGCATTCACACCCTTGTGGTCCACATTTACACCCCCCCAGAATTCCCTGCGTACGGGTCTGTATGCTGACAGAAGAATCCCTCCCTGGTCCTCTCAGGACTCCTATTCCCATGGTTGTTAATGTCAATACTATAACTGACGTCTGTAAAGGGGCGTAAGTTGAAGGACTAACCCATACACGTCACTCCTCATGGAACTGAATGCTACTGGATAATTAAGAGGATTCGGAAAAATCAACAGGATCTGCCATCGCTCCCTATCACAGACCCTCTCAGAAATTCTAGTTTTTATTTTCATCTGGTTGGACTAGATCAATCTGGCCAACCTAAACCAGAGAAGGAGCCAGACTTTCCCAATGTACGTTGCCCAAGAGCAACCGTTCTATGTCACCAGCCCCACCACCACTCTCAGCACATCCCGCCCACTGGCAGTCTCACCAGTCAGTGCCGCCTCCTCCTTTTCCTCCTGCCCATTTGGATCAGCTCTCTCTCGGCGGGAGACACCAAAGGGGGGAAGCATGGGTGTGACAGGCTCAGTGGAGGAGGGTAGGAAGTGGCAGAATCCTAGCGGGGAAGTGCCTACGGCAGAGCTGGGGATTGAACAGTGAGCACTCTCCGGCCCAGTGGAAAGTTGGCACCGGAGGGGGGCAGGAGTGTTCGGTATTTTTGGTTAAACCATCTGGCAACCCTAGATGGGTTAATAATTTATACAACAAAAGACAGAAATAATATTTAATAATCAGAAAGGAAGGTCTAAGAGCCAAGAAACAGTTAATCCATTACACAGAAGGTTTGATGTTGTTACACATTTATATCGGAAAGACGACTATGCATCAACATTTTCAGAACTGACTAATGACTATTGAGTGTCCAACTTGGGATGCTTTAAATAATATTTTGAGTCTACGTGCTTGGTATTTCTAAAATCAGGTCCTTTCAAATGTCTCATTTTACCCAAAAAGAAGGTTACCGACATCATGAGTCACTTTTAAAAATCATCAGCCTACGTCTGGGTACTTGTCTCAGTTTGAAGCTGTTTATACGTAATCAACACCAATGTGTTTAGTGAAACTGTAGATGGTCAACCTGTGGAACTCCTTGCCAGAGGATGTGGTGAAGGCTAGGACTTTAACAGGGTTCAAAAAAGAGCTAGATAGATTCATGGAGAATAGGTCATCAATAGTTATTAGCCAGGATGGGTAGGAATGGTGTCCCTAGCCTCTGTTTGTCTGGAAATGGGTGACAGGGGAGGGATCACATGAGGATTACCTGTTGTGTTCTGTCACGATCTGGGCCTCCCCTCAGATTTATAGCATGTCATCATTGGGGTTAAAGGCGTGGTCTCCCACCTGAGTGCTCCCTTCTTTCCATGTCCCAGTCCTTACTTATGTCCTGACTAGACACTACCAGTCATTAAGTGCCCTGAGTTAACCCCGTCAATAGGGCTTCTGCTGCCTGACGGAAAGGAGGGGGACCTGGGTCCACCCTCACTCCAGGTCCTGACCCAGGACCCTAAGGACAGGGATGTAACTCCGTGTCCGGTTGGTGGGGCAGCCGCCGTAACTCGCCAACCCTCGAGCAGCCTGTCGGCTCCAATGCTCAGTCCTGGGTCACTTCCTTCCCTCCGTTGCGTTGCCCAACTAGCCAGTCTCCCGGTGATCCTCCGGCCTTTCCCGTTTCCAGCTCCTCCAACCGACAGCCTCCGCTCCTCCTTCAGTCGCCCCTGTCACTCTATCTCCTGTTTCCTCTCCTGCTTCCTCTCCTGGGCCCGTCTGGCCCTCTTTTGTACTCCCCACAGCTCTCGGGGGTAGGCCCCAGCCCCTTTCGTTATCCCCCTGACGTCAGCGTGTGTCCCTATGCCACTCCCGGGGGCGGCATCAGAATAAGTGGAGCACGGCCGCCGAGAGGCTGTGCCTTCCCCGGAAAAAGCCTCGTTGGGGCTTTTGCGAGTGCGGGACGGGGGCCTCTGGGGGCTGGGCCCGCCGCCATACCCACAGCCCCGTCACATGTTCCCTTCCTCTGGGGCATCTGGTATTGGCCACTGTCAGCAGACAAGATACTGGGCTAGACAGACCGTTGGTCTGACCCAGTATGGCCGTTCTTATGTTCTTATGCTTCAGGGGGTAGCCAAGTTAGTCTGTACAGGATAAACTTAAAAAACAATGAATGGTCTAGTGCTACCAGACCATTTGTTGTTTTTTAAGTTTATTTATGTTCTTATGTTAGACAGTTTTTTGACTATAGCATTCAGTAGGACTGTGTGACATGGAGAAATAAAATGCTTTGGACAGTTTTTACATTGAATAAGTAGCTTTCTGTTGGATTCAGCACATGCAAAATTATTTTGCTTCTTCATTCTCGTGTTGGTGCAGCTGATTGAAGGGCAGAAGACTATGGGGAGGGAATAATTCAGGGTTACCGTATCTTTACTGGCGTAGGGTTTAACATTTTATTTTTTAAGACTAAAATTGAGTGAATCCTACAATGAGTGTGACAATCAAAGGATGTTTTATATTTAGACACTTGCAAGTTTTGTGGCTCTTTTTAAGGGAGAAGGATTCAATCAGGTTGATTTTAGACAATGGCAAGTAATTTGTTTCAGACAAGAGGTTAAGGTACTCAGGAGAAAAACCATCCTGTTCAGTCATGTCATGTGCCATGCTAACTGGAACAAAAATGTTGCCGTCCTTGTATCACATGTAGTGATGCTGCTCAGTGATAGTCACTCTAGAAAGAAAAGACGCCTTGAGCAATTTTGACTTACTAATGCTAAGTTCAGGCTCCTTGTTTTCCATAAAAAATGTTTGATAACTTAAGCCAGAGATTTGTTATAGCTAGCTTCAAAGAACGTAGAAAGGACTTGTAAAGAGTATAGTGATTGCAGGGGCATGTTCATATCAGTCAAATATAAGTAGCCTGGGTCTATTCATTGATCATTGAGGGGTAAAATTCAAAACAAAGCCCTAGATACACATCTCTGGAAATTAAACCCTGGACCCAAATGTCATAGTTTGCAACTACCCCAACTTTTAAAGAGCAGACTCAAAAACATATTTATAACTTCTAATTAAATTGCATAATTGATGCTGTAATACTGAGACCTTGCCTCATTCACACTCCAGTTCAGCAAAGCATTTAAGCATGAAGTTTAATTTCTCCCTGCTCAGCAAGGAACTTAAGCACATATTTACACTTAAGTACATCCTTAAGCACTCTGCTGAACAGGGATTATCTATGGAATTAGGACTACGGAGCCCATCACTGTGCATTTCAAGGATTTCAGACTCAAAGTTTTGATGTGGCTTGTTAGATAAGAGCCCACTGAAAAATTTTGAATTCAGGTTCAGATTAAAAATGTCTCTCCCCACCCCCCATAAACACATAATTTAGGAGTATGCAGATTTGGGGTTTGCGCTGAGCCATTAGGTAGATATAACATGTCCTAGTTGTGTTATAAATTTGCTGTTTAAGAAATAATGTATCCTCATCCACATCCAGACCACTCACCCTAGCTGTTCTGCCCATCTTGCAGATTATAGGAATTTTCATCATAACCCTATTATTGTTTCTAAAATACAGGTGAAAAATGCACACCCCACGCAATGACCATTCTTGGTACTTGCTGTCTGTATGGGTATATCTACACTACAATGTTAGTTCGAACTAACGGACGTTAGTTCGAACTAACATTCATAGCCGCTACACTAGCGCTCCGCTAGTTCGAATTTGAATTGAACTAGCGGAGCGCTTAGTTCGAACTAGGAAAACCTCATTTTACGAGGATTAAGCCTAGTTCGAACTTACTAGTTCGAATTAAGGAGTGTGTAGCCCCTTAATTCGAACTAGTGGGAGGCTAGCCCTCCCCAGGTTTCCCTGGTGGCCACTCTGGCCAACACCAGGGAAACTCTATGCCCCCCTCCCGGCCCCGGACCCCTTAAAGGGGCAATAGTCTCCAAAGAAACTATTCTTTATCCATTTTGAGAAGTCGGCTTTCTTGTAATTTCTCATTTTGGGAAAAAAATAGTTTGTCAGTAGAGTAATTTGAATTACTGCCCTGGACCGCAAGAGGAGGGCACCTTCCTGGGCTAGTGAGGACATCGTGGACCTCGTCCACGATCTCCGCACTAGGCACAGGAAAGTGGCCGTCTAGGGCAGGAGAGCTGCCAGCCTGGCCACCCAGGACCAGGTGTGCATGAAAATCAAGGGGGTCCACTGAGACCCCCGACACTGAGCCCTGAGCTTACAATGGCCGTCCTGGGTCAGACCAAAGGTCCATCTAGCCCAGTAGCCTGTCTGCCGACAGCGGCCAACCCTAGGGACCCTGGAGGGGATGGACCGAAGACAATGACCAAGCCATTTGTCTCGTGCCATCCCTCTCCAGCCTTCCACAAACTTTGGGCAGGGACACCACTCCTACCCTCTGGCTAATAGGACTCCATGGACCCAACCTCCATGACTTGATCTCACTTCCCTTTAAACTCTGTTCTAGTTGTAGCCTTCACAGCCTCCTGCAGCAAGGAGTTCCACAGGTTAACTATTTGCTTTGTCAAGAACAACAACTTTCTCTTACTAGTTTCAAGCCTGCTACCCATTCCTTTCCTTTGGTGTCCTCTAGTCCTTCTTTATGGGAACTCAGGAAGAACTTTTCTGAATGCACCCTCTCCACCCAACCCCTGCTTTTAGAGACCTCTATCCTGTCCCCCCTCCGTCTCCTCTTTTCTAAGCTGAACAGTCCCAGTCTCTGTAGCCTCTCTTCATCTGGGACCTGTTCCCAACCCCTGATCATGTTAGTTGCCCTCCCCTCTCCCAGCCTTTCTCTTCCCCTCTCCCACCTCCTTTTCCCAGTCTCCCCCAGTTTTTTTCAATAAAGACAGAGTCAATGTTGGAAGAAACGTTATCTTTATTTTGTACATCAATAAGAAGGGGGGCTAGGGAAGGGTAAGTGGAAGGAGGTGAGGGAGGAATGGGGTACGAGCCCCCGATGGGGAGGACTGGGCTGGCTCTGCGGGCTTCTGGGGGTGGAAGCTCTCCTGCAGCCCCCCAATTACTCCCTCTCCCCAGATGGCAGCCTGCGGCAAGTGCAGCCGGGCTGATGGCCGAGTGGTGTGATGTGCCCAGTGTGGGCACTCAGGGCACTCCAAGCCAGAACTTCTTTGCAAGCGGGGCACCCCTTAGAACTGTGTGTCCGGGGTGGGGGTCGGGACCCTTTAAGCGCAGCCCTCGGCTAGCCTGAGACAGCATCTCCATGCTCTAAGTCCTCCTCTTATGCCCTGCCGGCACTGCTTCCGGCCATCCTTAAGCCCTGTTCAGGGTCCTCTCAATGTGGACTTGCTAGTTCGAATTAGCAAAACGCTAATTCGAACTAGTTTTTAGTTCTAGACGCGTTAGTTCGAATTAGCTTAGTTCGAATTAACTAATTCATCTAAGTTAGTTCAAATTAGCGCTGTAGTGTAGACGTACCCTATCATAGTTTAGTGTTGTGAACACTTGCAATTGTATCAGGAGTCTTGCAATATCTGGTGCTTACTTCAAGCCCCAGCTCCTTATATCAGGTGATTATGGGAAAACCTTTCCTTTCCTTTCAAGAAATGTTAAGTTTCTAGCTGTCTTTGTTGCACAGAAAAACCTGAGAGTAAGCAACAGGCTCCAAAAAGCAGAAAGCAAATACATGATTTCCGGAGCCTGAATCAGAATGCTGAATGCCTGGCATTTACAGTATTGTTTTTATCATCTCGTGCCATAAACTGGGTCTGAGATTTATGTGTTTGGCACAGAATGCCTTACGCAGGGCACTTTGCATGTACCAACTATTAACTGCCACATGGAACAGCTGCAGTTCCAAAGAGAAAACACAGACAGATGTGCTCAGCAGCAAAAGCGACCTTAGGGAATACTTTCTAGCCTGAATTCCACTACCTGAGGAATGCGGAGCCAGACTGATTGACAGACAAGGCAAAAGGAGACATTGAGGCTCAGGAAACATTGAGAATCAGGCCCTGAATTATTTTGAGCAACTGTCAGTAGATGTTCATCACCTTTTCTTTTTTATGTCAAAACTGCAGGGGTCTCCATCATAGTCACAGTGCCTAGCCATTCAATGCCTGTCATGTGGTGCAAGTACAACCGCAGAGAACCACTCATCAATGTAACCCTGGCCGTAGGAACGCCTTTAGTTGTAAACATGGCAACACAATGGCCCCTGTTATTGCAAACACCCTTCTAAATGACACCTGTCAATGCAGCAGCACCTATACATTGATATTCCCAGCAGCAATGGCATTAAACTTTGGCAAGTCCCTTTATACTGTAAGTTCAGCAGTACTAAAGCATCTCTCTTTTACACACAGGGTCAAATTTCAATGTCAACTACCCTAGAATGGGTCCAGGTGTAATTTCATTGATTTCCAAGGGATTACTCTGGATTTGCACTAGTGTAACTGAGGTCAGACTCTCAGACTGTACCAATGCATTCACAAAAAAGTTGATCTGTTCTCTCGCTCTTGCTTCACACACAGGTGTTGGGGGTTCCATCTGAGGATACTTGGCCAGGAATTTCCAAGCTTCCCAACTATAAACCAGGTATACTCTCACTGAGAGAACTTCTAGATACACCTGAGTTACTAACTATATAAGAACTGGATCAGCAGTTTTCCATAAAAATAGGTTTGATGCTTTTCAGAAATTAGGGGGGGAGGTCGAAGTACATCGCTGTAGCCTAGATTGATTTAACATTTTGTTGGGCCAAGTGTTGAAGCAATAGGCTTTGCATACACTAGCACTTTTGTTGGCCAAATATTGTGGCATGAAATAGCACACCCTGACTGACTTAAGTTTCATCCACAAACATGTTAACGTAGACAGCACTCTCCTACTGACATAGCCACTGTCACTTGTTGGGGGTGGTTTAATTAAGCTGGTGGGAAAGCTTTCTCCCACCAACATTTAGCAGCTAGACGGGAGACCTTGCGTGGTTCAGCTGCAGCAGCACCGCTGTGCTACTTACAGGTCCCTATAGCACAGACATCGCCTCAGTTAGGCCTTGTCTAAACTGGCATGTTTTGTCAAGAAATGCTGCCTTTGGGCAACAAAAACATCCAAGCATCCACATTACAGCGTGACAAATGTCACAACATGTTTTTTGCGACACAAAACTTCCAGCTCCGTGAGAAACTTTTGACTCTGTGCAGTTGACAACCACACAGTGTGCACCAGGCAGGTTTTTTGTTGAGTTCATTGGACTCCAGCATGTGTCCCACAATGTCCTGTTTAGTCATTCTGGACATCACCTTGAACTCGGCGGCCCTTCAGCCACCTAATGTTTACAAGTAAAGAGATGCTCCCCTCCCACCTGCAAACCCCAGAAAATTCAAATCGGTTTCTTGTGTCTGTGGCACATGGTGTGGTGGCCCTCCTGTGATCTTCTCAAGGAAAAGCGGGGTGGTGGCTACCAATGCAAAAGCTCTCCTGCTTGGAGCAATACAGAGCTTTTGGATCTAATAGGTGTGCGAAGCGAAGTTTCAGTGCAACTGGAGCTGCAAGTGATCCATAAGAACTCGAACACGTACAGTCACATTTCTCAAGCCCTGTATGAGAAGGGGTAGGAGCAAAACACTACAACACAGAGCCAAGATCAAGGAACTCCAGCAGGGCTACCAGAAGGTGAAGGAGGCAATCAACCAGTCTGCTGCTGCACCCATAACATGCTGGTTTTATAAAGAACTGGATGGAATTCTGTGTGGGGGCCCCACAACCAAACCCTGCGACAGTGTGAATAGTTCTCAAAGAACAGAGCCAGATACTTGTCCTGGATTCACAACAGGACACAAGTTGATGAAGATACTGAAGAGGGCCAGGAGGCAAGGGTCAACCCAGTGACAGCCTGTGCACCCGGCAGCAAGGATCCGTTCTCCAACAATCTTTGCAAGGACGCTCAGCAACTCTTTGCGGAAAAGACACCACGTGTTAAAGCAATGGAAGGGACACAGGGTACACTGCTGTGCAGGTGGGGGGGTTGGTGGTTGAGTGGATGGCAGCCATGCAGGGTGGGATGGAGGTGGTGCCCCAGTGATTAGTTGCTGCGCAGGCGAGCTGGTTTGGGGGCTGAGAGGTTGGCAAACATCGGTGCCCATGAGGGGCGGTCTATGCAGTTGGGCAAGGGGGGCGGCAGTTCGGGATGACTAGAGGCTGTATTTCAATATGGCCAAACACAGCACCGATGCACACACGGACAGCAATAGAATCTCCCTGGGAAATGGTGTTGAAGATTCGCCTGATGTACTGATTTGTTTTGTCACAGAGATTCCATGGCAGGGCTGCTTTTGCCCAACCCCCGGTACGATGCTTTCCCAAACCAGTCCTTAGTGTGTGTTGCCGGAACCACGGCAGCACACAATTTGGCAGCATAAGGGCCAGAGAGCCCCCCACTCGCCTCCAAAAGCTCAGCCCCGGTTTGCTTGTTAAAAGTGTGAGTCCAAGCGCTGTACCTCAGTGCTGCACCCATGGGGAAACAGTTCACCCTTACTCTCACCAAAATTATGTAATCAACAGCTTGCGGCCACCACCTGGGGGGAGATAATCCTCCAAAAGGTCCAGCCTGGCACAGAGACACCGCCATCTCCCTTTCAGTCTGCCAAAGGCACATTGCATGACCATTCGGCAGCAGCGTAGCCTGTTGTTGAACTGCTCCTTACTGCTGTGCAAGTGCCCCATGTAACGCTTCATGAGCCAGAGCTGCAAGGGGTCACCTAGAATCACTATGGGCATTCCCACATCTCCCACTGTAAATTTCTGGTTTGGAAAGAAAGTACCACCATGCAGCCTCCTGTACAGACCACTGTTCCTGAAGATGCGTCCATCCTGCATCGGTCCAGACCACACCACATTTTTGTCTGTGAAACACCCGCAATGGACCACAAGCGCCTGAAGCACCACAGAGAAGTACCCCTTATGGTTGATGTACTCTGAGGCAAGGCAGGGTGGTGCTATAATGGGGATGTGTGTCCCATCGAGTGTTCCACCACAGCTAGGAAAGCCCTTGTCAGCAAAGCCAGCCACTGTGTCATCCACCTTTCCCAGCGTCACCATCCTGCCCATCAAAATGTGATTTATGGCCGTGCACCCTTGCAGAAGCACTACCCTGACAGTAGGCTGGCCCACTGCAAACAGTAGTAAGCAGGAGTGCCCAACTTCACACAGCAATGCCTTATGCTTCTCTACTGAGACAGCAGCTCTCATTCAGGTGTCCGTGTGCCGCACACAGCTCCAGAGAGGTTGCTTCCCACATCTGAAAGTTCTGCAGCCGCTGCTCTTCCTCCCACCTGCATGGCAACGCAGCCCCACCGCTCTGAGCTGGTTTCCCTAGCCCCACCGCAACAATCTAATGAGTCTCTCAGGTCTGCCAAAGCCAAATGATATAGCGATTCATCATCCTCTAATTCTAATGAATCTTCATTGGGTTCTGACGAATACAAATAAGAATCTGACGAGTCGTTGTCGTTGTCCGCTAGTCGGTCCAGAATTGGGCATGCTGCAATGCACGATGTCTTCTGAACAGTGCTCGGGATAAGGGCCACAAGGCTAGGATCTAGGTTTTCTCACTGTGGTTGCTCTAGCTGGTGCGAAAGAAAGCAGGAAACTCAGGGACATCTGGGAAGAAAAGAGATGGCTGACGGGACGTTTTTCACATTCCCAGCATGCTTAGCACTACATTGAGCTTTCCTACAGGTCTTAGAGAGGGAAGGTGACGCAAGGCACTGTGGGATGCATACCCACCATGCTTTATCTTTCTGTTAAGGAGGGAGCGGCGGATGTGGCCATTAGTTATCCACAGCAGCTACCAGAAAAACTGGTTTGGCAAGTTTCCAGTTTTAGCAACTTTTGCCTGTCGACAGCACTTTTGTCACTCAGACGTGCAAGTGTAGACATAGCCTTAGTCTGCTGTTCCACTTAAAGGGCTGGCATCTCCTATTTTACCCTGGACAAGGTGGCAAATACTTGTACGGTTTATCGATACCTTTTATTATTACGAAGCTGAGGTGTGAGCCCTGTAAACCGTATTTTCAAAGGTCACTGCCCCTGATTTTGATGTGGGCAAGGCGAGAAGTGTGTGTGATTTATAAAGCTGGTTTATTTCCATGCAGGCTGGTTGAGAAGTCTGTATCCTGAACTTCAAAGGGCCAGTTGTTTCTTATTTTGATGTGGGCAGATTGAGAAGTATGCTTTGAAAAGCAGGCTCCCTCTCTCTCTCTCCCTCTCTCTTTTTAATGTTTTCTCCTGGGATATCTTTCAGAGCAGTATATCCAAGTGTCAATGAGGGGGGAATGAGGAGCACTGATTCTCAGCCACCCAGCAGGATCATTTGCAAAGAGAAATATAAAAGTGAAATATTAAAAACCCTGGAATGTGAAATCCATCCATCTGCAGACCTATCTGGTCTCTCTCACTCGCTCCCGGGGAGCTGGTGGGGGGGGGGGAGGGCATATCAGCTTGGAAAAAAAAGTGGAGGAGGGAAAAAGAAGAGCTTTGAGTAAGAGGTTTACATGTTTAGTAGAGCATAGTAACATCCGTTCAAAAGAGTGGGTGTTGCTTTGTGACCCACTCCAAGGCGCCCCTCCAAATGTCCAGCTTTGAACATTACACAGCCCCCATTTTCACATGCTGACGGTGATTGGATGAACAATAACACGGCCTCACACTCTAAAGGGTTGGGATCTTTCACACAATTAGCCGAGACACATTAATCAAACTGGCGTGAAATTTGGAATGTGTCGCCTTCGGCAGCAACTTGCCAGTTTGGCTGGGAAGGGAGCGCAGAGCAGACAGTCGGGGAGTGGGGGGAAGAGATCTGGTTTCCTCATTAAAGGCTGGGTTGGGATACTGTCACTCATAACGGGGATCAATATCAATATCACAAACTGCTCCTGGCGGCCTGTGGAATAAGGCAATCCTTTTGCCACTAAAGGTAGCACAATCTGACCCAAGGGAATTTCCTGATGTCGATAGAACAAACAGGCCCTCTCGCAGGCAGAGTTACTTGCAGCTTTAGCACCAATGCAAACTGTAGACATTCAGGCGCTGTCCGGGGGGACTGTGACAACACCCGAGCTGATACACTGACATCCACATCAAGGGGAAGGCAGGATTCAAGGCAGCATTGGAATTGATTTAGTGAGAACCGATCAGGCCTCCTTAAGCAGGAAGTGATCTGAAACTCAGCAAGGTTTCTGCAGTGGAGACAAGCTGTAGGAATTCAGGTGGACAGAGCAGGTGCCCTATGGACAGCCCTGATAGCTGGGACCAGTGATGTTCACAGCACTGCACTATAAGCGCAGGCAACATCTAACCAGGTGCAGGCCTGGAGACACAAGAGGAGAGTATCACAGACCAGAGCGCACTGCTCACCTCAGTCTGGAGCTGATCCTGTGCTATTGAAGCCCATGGAAAATTTCCTATTGATTTCAAACAACAAACGGTCTGGTAGCACTTTCTAGACTCTTCCTGGATACTATCGATTAATTTTGATTCTTATCTGCATATTTTAACTACCCAGTCTTCAGATACTTACTGATTCCCTCTGCTCT